ATAAAACATGTACTCGATATAAGTATTAATAAAAAGCTCGGACCAAAGAGGTCACCTTAATACCGAAAAAAAAAAAAATAAAATAAAACTAATCCATAAGATTTGTTCTTTTTGTTCTAAAGAATAAAACTTGTGATTTAGATTTTAATTTATAACTAAACTGGTAGAGCAGTAACCTTTTAAAAATCAAAAAAAATCAACAATTTATTAATAAATTATAAAAATGTAAACATATATATTTTTAATTTAAACCAATCAAAATGTGTTATTACATTTATATGATACATATTGCGAGCTGTTACCAAAACTCAGGTTATGAGATTTATATAATAACTTATTATATAACTTTTTTTGTTGTTGAGTCAGCAAGTAATATAACAATTAGATGCTACAGCTGTAATGCAAACCCAGGCTTTTGGTGGCTGTTTTGTAGATCTTGTAATAGAATGAGGAAAATCCTATAAAATTTACAGGTTATTTCTTTATAACACTTAGGATGCTTAATGTGATTGGCTAGTTATAGAGATTATGCACAAGTACTACAATTAATTGTCAAAGATTCATTTATATTGTGAAATGCAGATATTAAATTTTAGCCAATCAGCACAATACTATGATAAAAAAAAAAGATGGTCTCAGACCATATTTTTTTATCACAATAATGAACTCACTTGATTGAATAATTTATTTTCTACTAATCAATTTAGATGATTGAGAGCACCTTAAATATATGTAGATCAGTCATTGTAACACTTTTAAATACTAAGCATCAGCAAGATTAATAAATTTAATATTAATTTATGTTCTTATATGTTAGATAAGATCAATTTAGTTGCAGTTCAAAAACCAACTTATTATATTTGAATTATTTTAAAATTTAAAAAACTAAATTCAATATTTGTTAAAATTGTAATAAAACATAAGATTTCATTATTAATTAATAATTTATTTAGCTTACAATAAATAATAAATAAAATTAAATATTTACTATTCAATGCATTTTATAGTTCTATCTAATTGTCAAACCAATTTTCTAAAAAAAATATAATTAATTAAATTACAATATGTGTGCAAAAAATTTATTAATTTTTAAATTCATACCTTTTAAGCATTATAATGTCTTATCCAAATGCCAAATCTTGTGTTGCATCTAGCAAGACCTATAATAAAGCTGGCATTTTTGTAGCTAATTCTAAAGATATAAATAATGTAGAAGAAAACATAGATATTCTGGAAGACTGTGAGTTATTTAAAATAACACATAATAGCTTTCAAAATTATGCATTAAAAACTATAGAATGACATGAAAAAGCTGATAAAAAATTAAAACCTACTTTCTATACTAGTATAATTAAAAGCTATTTTGTTACTTTAGCATTAATTTTTGATATAAAACTACTAAAGTACCTTAGCAGTTTCATATCAAAAATCAATGTTGAAGTGCCAAAATAGTTTCTACAAAATGTATATCTTAATTTTAAATCTTTATATTAATAATAAAATTTTAGGAAACTTAAAAACAAACCTTTGAAAAAAAAGGAAGGCACAGAAACAACTTCAACATAAAGTTAAACAAATGTGAACTCTTAATGAAATGTAAAGCATAAAGGCACAAGATAAAGAAAAAGCACCAGCCCTATTATATCATGAAGATATTTTAGCCCAATTTAAATAACAAATGCAATAAATAAAGAAGCATTATAATGAATTAAAAAATCAACTTCGGAGTTTTCAAAATGCTAAAAAAAAATTTAGCTAAATCACAACCTTATGAAGTACAAAGGTTGACATCTATTTTTTATTATTATAGGTTATTACTAGATAGTAAAAAAAATAAATGCATTAGAAAAAATTGCAGATACTTTATAAAAGAATATTCAGAATACAGAATATATATCTTGTTGCATTAGAGGATAAGCAAAAGACTTTCTTAAACAAGGCACCTTACCTAAACATTAACAGGAAAAATATGCAAAAAGAAAATTGTTACTTGATGATGAGGATCTTAAACTGGCAGCTTGTATCTGGTTATGTTTTATTTTACCAAAAGATTGTTCTTCTTTAGTACTAAAGAAAGAATTGAAAACAAATATCTTTCCTAAATTGCTTAGAGTACTAATTACTATTTCAGAAACTACTATATAAAAATTTATATACTTATGGGATTTTTACAAAAAAACTATAAAGCAACAGATATGTAAGGCCATGTAAAATTAATTAATATTTTTTTATAACCCAGCCAGGCCAAAATTTGAAAACTTCTAAAACAAATTTTTATATATAAAAAAAAAAAATCCAGCCAACCAGGTCTATTTAAAAGTTTCATATTATAAAAGTCAAATAATTAAATTTGTATAGTCTAATATTATAATTATTATTATTATTATTATTATTATTATTAATTTTTTTTTTAAATTGCTTAATACTTTTTAATTTATTTTGATGAACATGAATGAAAAGATATGCAAGAATATTGTAAAGGATAGGCAATGAGAATGATGAATTATCAAAAAAAAAAAACCAATATGATGATAATGAGATAAAAAATGTCATACCTCTAGAACAGCTTAAAATTTGGAATATATGCCATATTTTGGTTATCTATGATAAAGTTTATTTTTATGCTAATGATGACAATTCATCCTTTTGGGTAAAAGATAAAGAGCCTATTATTAAGAAAAAAAGGCCAAAAGTTAGCAATTATGGTTAGTGACTTCTTGTATGCATGCCATGGCCCTTTGTGCCTTACAAAGGCTAATGCTATATAACTTGGATTGAACTGAGAGGCCTGAGTTATTATAAAGCCAGAACAACAAGCTGATGGTTATTGGAAAAGTAAAAATATAATTAAACAACTTCATAAAAAGGCAATTTCTATTTTTAATACTCTCCACCTAGAATGCATAAGCATAGTTTCAAATTTGTCTATTGTTTTTTAATTTTTATTTATTTATTTATTTATTTTTTGTTTTTTGAAGATGTATTCTGCTTTAATCAGGTACTAATTATAATGCATATACACTTAATGCACTTATGTGTTTCAGAATGACTATGCATCCAAAAGTTGAAGATAAATTTAAGTTTAAGAATGGGTGATCCATTTATAATTATGAAAAAATTACACAACCTATGTTTTTTTTAGATGAAGACAATAGTATCGTAAAGTTTAAAAAAATCAAAAAGGTATATAAAGACTACAATTTTTTTTTTTTTTTTTTTTTTTATTACTTTTTCTTTACTATATATCTTAGATTCTAAAAGAACAAAAAATGTGGACTGGTCAAAGATTGGATTGTAAAAGAATGAAGGATGACAAAAAAAGTAAAAAAAGAAATTTTGTATCATGATGTTAATAATCAATATAATTTTCTTTTTTTTTAGTTTTGAATTGTTGCACAAGACATACACTTACGATAAAACCAAATTTTTTGGAACAAAAAACTTCAATTGCAGAGACTGTTGAAGCTGTCAGGCATATTTTTAAATTATATTCAATTTTTATTACAAATGCAACTTTATCAAGTATTTTTAGGATGTTGCTAAACAATCACTTATTAGTAATGTGATTATTCTTATGCTCAGTTACAACTTCGTATATCAAAAATACTCAACAATATATTATTACTTATAGTTAGATGATTTAGCTAAAAGGCTTAGAGATATATTGAAGCATATGTAATAAGGTTAGAAGAAGAAGATGCAGAGAGAGCTGTAAAACAGTTTAAATCGCATAGGCAATTTCGGATAGACAAGTAAGTAGTAACAACTACCAAATCATGTAAGAAGAAATCAATAGAGACCTACATGACATTTTAAATCAATAAATTTAACTGTTCAATAGTGTTTGAAAGTTTTTGAACCTACCTTACAGTACGTTACTAATCAAACTATTTTTTTTTTTTTAAAAAAAAAAATGATTAAAAAAAAATATTTGTCTGCTGAAAAAAAAAACTGCTTTTTCATCTACCACAGAGTATATATATAAAAGGAAAATTGTTGCCACAGAGTATATGCATTAAAAATTGAAAAATAAAAAACCATTCATATCTATTCATTATATAAATAAATATAAAAAAAAAATTCATTATGTAAAAAAAAAAAAAAATAAAAAAATAAAAATAAAATGTGCTCAAATTTAATTAGATATAAGTATATTATATGATTTTTTGCCAAAAGTAAACTCCCATAACTCACCCACAAGATTTTTTCTAGCATGTGATTCTAGCCAATTATATTGAAAGATCAGGTGTAATATGAAAATTACATCTTTTTAAAAAATCACCATTAACTCGAAATTTTATCTATAAAACTACTTATTGTGTTCTAATAAAAAAATTACTTGTAAAATTTTAGTATAAACTATGCCCTTTCTTATCTATTATCCTAATCCTAAAGATGATGCTTATTACTTTAAAATCTTTTTACTTAATTTGATTATTTTGATTTTATGTTACACCTGATTCTTCAATCTAATTGGCTAAAAATCATATACTGAAAAAAACTTGTAGGTGAGCTACTATTAATCCAAAAGTGAACAAAATCACATAATTGGAGATTTAAAGCTACTGGCACCATAGGAAATATAATACAAACAACTCACACCATATAGAAATACTAGCACACAACTTGAAAGATAACACAATTTAAGAAAAGTTGCAACATATAAAAGCAATATTAAGAGAAAACAAGCATATAAAATCAGTTGAAGAAATAACTAAAGAAAATGGCAAATGAATAGAAATAGATTTCAACTGCAAATATAGTAGAGAAAAAGCAATAACAGAATTACAAAAACAAAACATTAAAGAAGTACAAGTTGTAAAGAAAAAAAAAAAAGAGAAAACCAAGTATCAATAAAAGTAACTCCACTAAGAGAAAAACAAAAAGTTGAAAAATCTTATAAAACATACAAAGGAAAAGAAAAAAAAAAGTAGTAGAAATGAAAGAAACAAACAAATTTTTAATGATCTGAGATCTACTAGCAGATATAAAAGAAGAAGAAGTTAAGTATATGTGTAGAAATATAAGAAGTGCACAAGTAGTTAAGATCAAAAAAACAAGATTCAAAGTCTTAGCAATAATCAAATCTATTTACTTGGAAAAAGAAAGAGCTTCATGGTTCTTGCCAATTGGAAACAATAATCTAGCATGTATCATATAGGGGTACAAAGACTACAAACAAAAAAAAAACAAAAAAAACATACAACTAAACTTATAGAGTTAGTAAAAGGAGTCTTAGAAGTATTATTACTAAGAAGTCTTAGAAGCAAAGAAGCAAAAGCAGTTCACATTTTTTCTAACAGAAATGGAAATCCAAGAAGCATAGCAATAATAACTTTTGAAAACAGCACAAACCTTATAAAAGCAAGTAGTAAGCCAGTCAGATATTACAATTATACACTGTACTGGAAATTGACCAAGAAAGAAGACCAGAAAGTAAGAACATGTCAATCTATAAAACAAAAATAATGAAAGAAAACAATACAAATAATGAACATCAAGAAGTCAATAGAAGACTAAACTACAAAAAAGAAATAACAAATACAGAAATAAATAAAAACAGTAAAGACAACAAAGAAGACAAAAAAAACATACTAATCATCTGGGAAAGAATAGATCAACATCAAACTATGTTACAAAAATACTAGAAAAACTAGAAAAGATAAATGAAGAGCAGAAGAACCCTGCTCAACACTTCTAAAAATTGCTATAGTTAAAAACATGAATGTGAATAAGGAGATCATGAACTTCTTGCAAAATGAAAGAAGAATATATAAAAGAACACAAAGAGAAGAAACTCCTTATCTCTTTAAAAACTTTAGCAGAAAGGACAAGAACAAAGAAAAAGAAACAGTTAGAGTAGAAGAAAGTAACAAACTTAAAGAAAAGTAAAAACAAATAAATAGAAAAAAATTCAGAATAGCATGCCACAATGTTAATAAACTTAAAACTAGAGAATAGAAACTAGAAAATCTTTTAGGTTGGGCAGAAAAAGAAGAAATATCAATATTAGATATAACAGAAACAAACATTGCAAAAAAAGAAGAAAAATTTCTAATACATGATCTCAACATACAATATAAGGGTTACTGGACTAGTGCAGCATCAGACAAGAAAAAAGGTTCAGATATTGATATACTAATAGAAAAGAAGTAGAAAAAACATATAGGAGCTATTAAAGGGTTAGCAAATATATGATAGAAGTGCAATTATATTTTAAACAATTAGAACTAGTTGTAATAGGACTATATATTTTATTTAATGACAAGTTAACTTGCAAGAGCATTCAACAAAAAGTAATAAAAGTAATAACAAGCAAAAAGAGACATACAGAAGTAATTATTTTAGGAGACTTTAATCATACAGTAAACAACATATTAGACAAACAACATCTACAAATAACAAACAACAAAAGATTACTACTATTTAATTGGCTCAAAAGACAAGATTTTACTAACTCATACAAAAGTCTCCATCTAACAGAAAAGGCATACACATGGTCAAGCTGTGAAGCAGCAACATGAATTAACTATATATGGCTATCAGAATTACTTGCATTAGGTTTATAAAAAGCAAACATAGAAGAAGCAGAAGGACTAACTGATAGTAATCACAAGATAATACTAACAGAAATATGAATTAGACATATAATTGCAAATAGTAGTAGTACAAACATTAAATAGAAAAACCAAACAAAGACAATTTATCTATATAAAGAGGCAAAACAGAAAGACTGAAAAGAATATATAAGAGAACTACAAAACCAACTAGAATAGAAAAAAGTTATCAAACAATTAAAAAAAATGAAATAGATACAAATTGTAATACAAACATATTAGATTTAATATAGGATATAATAGAAAAAGCTATAATTAAAGCAGTGAATAAACAAATTCCAAAAAAGAAGATCTTTAATACAAAAGTAAACAGAAGACAAAGCAAGAAAAAAAAGCAACAAGATAAGCATATTATAAAGCTGCAGCAGATAATTAAGAAAGTGAAGACAAAGAAAAATCAGAAGGCAGAAAAGAAAAAAATAACAGAAATAAACAACAAGCTTAAAGCTATAGGAAAAAGAATAAAAGCAATGCTACCAAAGTTGCACAGACAATAGTTAGAAGCCTGAATAGAAGATATAAAAGGCTGGCAAAAAATTTTTAAAGAAAAAAAAAAAAGAGAATAGGAGCAAGCTTAAAGGAAACAGATAAAAGAGAACATAAACAAGAAATGTGAGATGATCAAGATGAATCAATGATAAATAATTGTTAGCTTACTAAACAGACTATTCAAAAAGATAATTTTTGACAGTTTTATAATATAAAATAGAGAAGAATTAGAACTAATAACAAAACCAAAGGCAGTTTTAGATGGTTTAACGAAGCATTTTCAAAACTAATTTAGAAAAAAGAAAACAAAATTAAAAAAAATGTCTAAAGAATGGAAAAAGATATACAAGCCAAAAGAGTAGATTGAGGAGTCTTAGTATAATATGCTAGAAAAAAAATAAATGAAGAAGAATGAGAAGAGAGCTTAAAACTGATATAGCTTCAGAAATATCAGGTATAAGTTACATATTAATCAAGCATGTAGAAAAGAAAACACAAAAAATCTTTAAAGCTTTTGTAAATCTTATTTTAGAAAAAGGAGAAATCTCAAAGAAATAGAAAATAGCACAAGTATATTCAATCCCAAAAGATGAAGACTGGTGATATAGTTTAAAAAATATCAGACCAATAACACTGATCAAGACCTTTAGAAAAATATTTACAAAAGTAGTAACAAAATGATTAGCCAAGATATTTATAGAAAAAGAAATACTTA